AATAGGACCCTAACTATTAGCAACAGCAATAGCACTTAAGACTTATATACCGCTTCACAGTGCTTTCCAGCCCTCTCTAAGCAGTTTACAGAATCAGCCTATTTGCCCCCAACAATTTGGATCCCCATTTTACCACCTCAGAAGGATGGAAGGCTGGGTCAACCTGGAGCTTGGTGGGATTTGAACTGCCGAACTGCAACTAGCAGTCAGCTGAAGTAGCCTGCAGTACTGCACTCTAACCACTGTGCTATCTCGGCTCTATTAACTGTCCTACTAGCTAGGATAGGTCACAGGTCAATAGCAGCAAGAGGGACAGACAAGGATTCTAATCCTATGATTGTCCCACTTCAGACTGGAAGGAAGAGGCTTCCAGAAGATTCCTCCAGGACTGATCATAAGTGTCAGGCCTGCAGTCATATTCCTTTTAGGATCTTTGGCCTGACACACTCTCTATTATTTTACTATGCTGTTTCATTAGTGTAGTAATTGGGAGGGGGAATAGTAAGGAGTAGAATTGTAGAATGTGTTGTTGTCATAATAGAACATTCCTTTCTAGAAGCCCAAGGTCATCTTTTGTCTCCGCACCTCTGCGCCTGACTGGATCTAGATGGGTGGAAATGCTAGCATGGCAGACGAANTCTATCCATCCATCCATCCATTTATGGTATTTATCCATCCATCTATGGTATCTATCCTATCTATCTATCTATCTATCTATCTATCTATCTATCTATCTATCTATCTAATTATCATCCATCCATCTATCCATCCATCCATCCATCCATCCATTTACTGTGTCTGTCCGTCCGTCCGTCCATCCATCCATCCATCCATCTTCTATCCATCCATCCACCCATCTATCTATCTATCATCTGTCCATCCATCTCATTTATTGGCCGCCCATCTCGCTGTGGGGCTACTCTGAGAGATTTCTGTAATACAGACAAAAACATGTAAACATAACATTAGTAATTGCTTCTACTACCACACTTCTCAGTGAATCTAAGCCTTGGCTGAAGTGTACAATATTGTGGGGAAGAAAGGAAACTGTCTTTTCCTCTTATTAATCAGAATTCATGTCCATTATTATCCCTCACTGCACTTGCAAAATTTCCAGCCATTTTTAAAGTTTGGAACACGAAGAGTTCCAAGAAGCTGCACTTCTATGCCTAACAGCAGCTTTGTTCTATATTTTTATCCACAAAATGGACCAAAGTTCAGTATTTCCTAAGTACGGCAAGGTACACCTGAGGTGCAACAGGTGGGGTTAAAGAGCCTGGGAAGAGGACACAGATCAAAACATGAAGGAAAATGCCCAGCAGAACCCCTTGTGGCTGCTTGTCCAGAGGCTCTAAAGGGGAGTTTAGATGAAATTGCGTGTTATGGAGGGTGGCAGGCGGGCCGGGAGACATGTCTTTAGGGCAGTGATGCCCAACCATTTTTCTCCTCTTGTGCTGAAAGCGCTGACATGCTTGTGACAGCGAGCATGTGAGTGCCCCCACACATAATGCAATGTGCACGCAACATCTCCTGTGCGTCCCCTACACCCCTGGGCATGCATGCCCGACCCTCCACAACCCATTTTGGGCTCAGACGGCCTCCCTAAAGCCTCCTGGGACCAAAAACAGGGTGCGGGGGGGGGGGGTTGTCCCACGTATGCATGGCAGAGACCCGGTTGTGAGAGACTAAAACAAAGTTCACTTCAGTGCAGCCGATCTTCTATCGTGAAGTCTGCTTCTTAATCTAGGACATACATATACAATATGCAAATGCAATAGGCAGTCCCCGATTTACGTCAGCAATTGATCCCAATATTTCTGTTGTTAAACGAGACATTTGTTAAGTGAGCTTTGCCCCATTTTATGATCTTTCTTGCCACAGTTGTTAAGTGAATGACCGCAGTTGCTAAGTTATGACACGGTTGTTAAGTGAATCCGGCTTCCCCATTGGCTTCACTTGTCAGAAGATCGCAAAAGGGACCCCATGTGACCCTGGGACACTGCAACCGTCATAAATACGAGTCAGTTGCCAAGCCTGTGAAGTTTGATCATGTGACCATGGGGATGCTGCGGCGGTTTTAAGCGTAAAAAACGGTCATAAGTCACTTTCTTCAGTCCCATTGCAACTTTGAACGGTCACTAAATGAACTGTTGCAAGTCAAGACTGCCTGTATTAATTCACAGTCTGAAAGAGTTTGGAAACCTCCCCGTTGTAAAGAATTCCAATCGTGTTTCGTATTAATAAAAGGATGCAGCTTGGCATTTCCGAGTACCGTATTTTTCAGAGTATAAGACGCACCTTTTTCCCTCAAAAAAGAGAGTGAAAATCTGGGTGCATTTTATACACTCAATACAGCATTTTAGCCCCTCAAAGCCCTGCTTCAGCAAAATGGCCATGCATTGCCTTTAGGAGGCTTTCAGAGAGCTCCTGGGAGCTGGGGAGGGCAAAAATGNATATTTGGAACCCTGACATCAGGATAATATAATCCATCTTCTCTTTCACCCAGTTTTCCATAGGAAAGTGATTTAAGTTATTCTCAGTTTGGATAGTTGTTTGTTTATGTTGAATCTGTTGATGGTTCCAGGTATGATCACCCCTTTTCAGTGGAAGCACTAATTCCTGAAATACTGTACCTTGCATGGGGAACATCTCAGAGGAAGAGGGACCTAGGTTTCAAAGCCATCCTCTATCTGGGGGGCCAGAGTGGTCTGGTGGCCTAGAGGTGGAGCTCTCGTCTCATAATCAAGAAGCTGTGAGTTCAATCCTAGGTAGAGGCAGTTATGTCTCTCTCTCTGGGCACACTTGAGAATATATCTGCTGAGTAGAGTAGAACTCCGCTCTGGCAACAGGAAGGGCATCCGGCCAGTAAACACTCAGCTCCATACAGTTGCCCAAGACTCCACCCTGCAAGGGATTATAGGGTCTTTAAAAGATGATGATGATTTATCTATCTGGGAGCCAGAAATGTGGCGAGAGGGATAGAACAAGACCAACTAGACTAAAATGGAAGGACACTTTGTGCTTCAACATGCTGTTCAGTTGTTTGGGTATACAGGAGTTCCCCAACATTTCTGATTTTGCGGACCAGCAAGGGTGGTTCTGTTCGAGAGGCAGGCAAGTACACATGCAGCTCCAATTGTGCAAGAGGTGAGCAAATGTGCTCGCTGCTTGTTCAAGTGGATTGTTCGTGCATGCGAATGCCCACTGCTCGTGCAAGTAGGGATGCGCACATGTGCACTCACCCACCACTTCTGTGGCCCGGTTCCAAACGACTCAAGACCTGGTAGTGGGCTATGACCTAGAGGGGTTTGGGACCCCTGGGGTATACCATCTTGCATGAATTGTACTTTAGAAAACCCCAAAGTGGAGTTAAGGGTATTGTGTGAATCCCACATACCATATTTTTCGGACTATAAGATGCACCAGAGTATAAGACGCACCAAGATTTTGAAGAGGTAAATTAAAAAAAAAATTTTTTTTTTGCAACAACTCATTTTTGGTNTTCATATTTTCAATTGACCATAATGTCACCAATCATCCAGAGTTCCAAAAATAGTTTTCCATTATTAATTATTAATCCATATAGTGGTTAAGTATTTCAAATCATATGTATATCAATTGTTCATTACATCATCATTGGTCCGTTTAATATACAAAGATATTTCTAATATAAAATGGTCACTACATGCCCAAGTTTCGGCTCAAAATTTCTGTTGTTAAATAAGACATTTGTTAAGTGAGTTTTGCCCCATTCTACAACCTTTCTTGCCAGAGTTGTTAAGTGAATCACTGCAGTTAAGTGAATTACGTAGTTGTTAAGTGAATCCAGCTTCCCCCATTGACTTTGCTTGTTGGAAGCTGGCTGGGAAAGCTGCAAACAATGATCATGTGACCCTGGAACGGCTGTAAGTGCATGCCAGTTGCCAAAGGTCTGAATTTTGATCACATGACCGAGGGGATGCTGTGATGGTCTTAGATGCGAGGACCGGTCATAAGTCATCACTTTTGGTTTAGGCGGGGCTTGACATCGCTACGACATGACATGCAATCTTGGGGCTCCAGGATTGCTGTCGATATCTCCGTTGCTGGACGATCCTTTTTGGATCTAAACCATTCTGAAGGAACGGTGATAGAGAAGGGCATGACCTGCTGATCTCAGGGGCATCACAAAGCCCCTGATAGATCCAGGGAAAAGCCCTTTTTGCTGGCTACAAGAGAAGCAGCCAATATGGCTGCAGAAGGTTGGGACAAGCTCCTAAAACAGAAGCAGTACAGGAGAGACAGTGTGTCGAAATAGTGAGAAAAATCTTTATTATTAGAGAAGAGAAAACCCAAAAGACTCAAGAGTTAAAATAAAATTGAAGACAGAAGGAAACAAGCGGCAAATTTACCCTGGTTTAAAACTATCGCGTTATCTTTTTTACTTTAATTTTGTTTGTTTTTTATGGATGGACTTTTTACAAATTCTCTTCAACCCTTTCTTGGACAACCAAAAATCTTCCTGCTTATGCAAATGCCTCTACACAAGAGTACTCAAAGTAATGATAATTTTAAATGTGAATTATGTGGAGAAGAGGATCAGAAAAGCAAGAACAGCTCCTTCTAGAGTATCTATCTTCAAATAAACCAATTAAGCTCAAGCTCTGGTTCCTAAGTAGTTTAAGATGTTCCCATAAATCATCCAAGCTCCTCGTGAAACCCAAAACTCATCTGAAGGCATGAGACAGCCTAAAGGAGGAATGGGTATCTATAGCAACTTGTGGACTTCAACTCCCAGAATTCCCAAGTCAGCCATGCTGAAATCCATAAGTTGTAAGGTTACCATAGTTGCCCACTCCAGTCCTCAAATCATATTTAAAACTGCAGCTCTTTACAACATCCCAAAGAGATTGGAGTGGGCCAACATCCCAAAGAGATTGGAGTGGGCATTGGAGTGGCTCTCCATCATGGCCCCTTGTCTCCATCCAGCCAGGAAGTGGTCTGTGACTGGCCCCACCCACCTTTTGTTCCTGTCATGCTGGTCTCTCTCTCGGTCCCGGGGATCGGCATACGTCAAGTTCCCAAGGCGAAAGTCGTCAGGCGAAGATTCGGCCCAGCCTAGCGTGTGTTCCATGTCTTTGCTGGCTACAAAAGTCAAAAGCTGATTAGCTGATCGTAGTGAGGGTGGTACCAGCAAGAGAATCTCCCTCCCAGCCCAGCAGCAAACATGCCTGGGCCAAAAGTCATGACCTTGCCCTTTTAGCATTTAGTGACTGTGGAAATCCAAATAAAGGGCTCAGTCTTAAAGGCAGGACATGCTTTCTATGAAAACTGATAAACATAGAATGCTAGGGCTGGACCGGACCTTGGAGGTCATCTACTCCAACCCCCTGCTCAAGGAAGAGACATTATACCATCCTGGAGAAATGAATGTCCAACTTCTTCTTGAAAACTTCCAGCATCAACAATTCTGGGAGGCAAACTGTTCCACTGATTAAATGGTCTTACGGTTAGGAAATTTCTCCTGAGTTCCAAGTTGGATCTCTCTTTAACAAGTTCCAAATTTAATTCAGAATAGAGCTGGAAGGGACTTTGGAGGTCTTCCAGTCCAATCTTCTGCTCAAGCAAAAGACCCTATACCATTTCAGACAAGTGGCTGTCCAGTCTCTTCTTAAAAACCTCCAGTGATGAAGCACCTACAACTTCTGGTGTCAAGCTGTTACACTGGTTCATTGTTCTCACTGTTAGGAAGTTTCTCCTTAGTTCGAGGTTGCTTTTCTCCTTGATTAGTTTCCATCCATTCTTTCTTTTCCTGCCCTCTGATGCTTTGGTAAATAGATTGAGCCCCTTTTCTTTGTGGCAGCCCCTTAAATATTGGAACACTGCTATCATGTCACCCCAATCCTTCTTTTCTCTAGAGCAGGGGTCTCCAACCTTGGCAACTTTAAGCCTGGCGGACTTGGAGACAGCTAGTCATTTGCATCCTTTTAGAGGGCCCTTAAAGCACTGAGAGGTTTTTCTGTGTCCTCAGGGTCACCTGAGTGGCGCTCTTGGTTCCTGTAATCTGCAATTTTCCCTCTGGAAATCTGTTCATATTCTCACACTATCAAAGGGTGTTCATCCCAAATTGTATAGCTAAAAGTCTGCAGAGATTCTCAGTCATCCAGGTCATGGTTATCCCAAAGGTGCATTTTTAGGAGGTAACTGGACTTTTCTTTTTTCCAGTTGCCTCCTGAAAAAGCACTTTTGGGATAACGGGACTAATGAATCCTTTAGCTAAATTAAACTGGAATGCCTTTAACTGAATGCCATCGCTCCTTTCCAAAAATGCCAAACCTAGTCATGAGACAACAGAGGTACTCAAAGCAGTTACAGCACCCCCAAAGGTGGTGAATCTTTGTGATGCCAAAAATCAGGAAGGCGAAGCCCTCCAGGATGACTGCCCAGGTGGCAGAGGTGTGCCTACCTGTGTTCCAGCTGCTGGTGCTCAGTCCAGGATCTGACATGCTGGAACAAGAGCCAGAGGAGGTAAAGCTGGGCTGTTGGGGGTAAAACAAGAGGGAATCACATCAGAATCATTCCCCAAAGGGCACCCCCTGGGCTGGGAGGAAAAAGAGAAAGAAGGCAAATCAGCTCGTACGTATCGACTGTGGCTGGAAGGGTGCTGAGGAGCCAGACCTGTGGGGTTTGGGATTCCCTGTGGTCTGGATTGGGTCTCAAAGACGCTGCACAGCATAGCCAAGGTTTGCACATCGTGGAGCTGGCAATAGTGTGCCAACCTGCAGAGGGAAAGAAGAAGAAAGAAATAGCTTTGAGCTAGTTACAGGTTACAATTTGGAACAAAGAGGCTGGGTTTTCTATCTGCTGATGACAAAAGTAAACGCAACCGCTAAATGTAACAGTGGAGAATATTGCCTGGACTTTCTGCCTGTAATTTACTATCTTTCAGCTCATATTTAGGGCAGGAAGGAAGATGGATCTAACTTGATCGCTCCCTAGAAGAGGAAGGTTTGATATCTACCTACCACCCACCCACCCATCCATCTGTCTGTCTTCCTATCCATCCATCCATCATCTATCATCCATCCATCCATCCATCCATCTACTGTGTCTGTCTATCATCCATCCATTCATCTATGGTATCTATCTATCTATCTATCTATCTATCTATCTATCTATCTATCTATCTATCTATCTATCTATCTATCTATCTATCTATCT